CTCCTTCGGTTTCAGGTGAGACCAGTTCACGAATTACTTCCAACCAATTTTTCCTTCAAAATAAGAACTCATTTCACAAAATATCACTAATGGATACTCCTAAAACCAATTTGTATTCATATCTTCGAAGTACGTACGGTTTCCACTCTTTTCGGAATTCATCATTGTATACACAAACAAGAAAATATTGGCTAGACATATCAATCACATTCATTTATTAAAAGGTTGCTCTTCACATAGATTTTGTGTCATTTCTAGACCTAACATACATTGTAAAACTAAGACTGACCTGTTAGGCGTAGGTCATGATTTAGTTGATATTAGACGTAAGGGAAACATTACAAAGCTGTCCGAGGTCCTTAGCCTGAAAGACTTCTTTGGGCTCCGAAGAATAGTGGATAGGTTACATAAGAAAATTTATCGATAAGTTAGAAATAAACATGACAAGAAAGTAAGAAATTTGGGTATAAGAATTAGCTTAAAGAAGCCAACCATATCTAATAAAGTAAAAGGGGAGGAACTCGGAGGCAAAGTGGTAAATCTGTCTAAAACCTTATTGGACATTTTGTATTGAGGTGGTCTTATCAAAGCGCTTGAAATTTGCCTTTCCTAATGGTACGGACTTCAAGGAGGAAATCTTGGTAGAATTTATAGTTTCCCAGAGGATATTAGGAATGACATTAAATTACTAGTTATCCCTTTAATTGATGGCTACGTAGAAGCACCATATAAGAACAAGACAGTTAATACTATTATAGGGCAAGTGATCAATTAGTATTATGGGGAGATAAAGAGTAGTAGTTATGGATATGATCGATTATGTGGAGAAAATTTTACAAGCACTCAGATTACAGGATGAGCCAAAGTACAACACTTCAGAGTATACCCGATTAATGTAGTTTTCTGGTTGTACCTGTGCTTGATATACCTAGCCTATTTAATATGTCACTTATATTAATTGACAACTAATTCCAGCTAACTTTGTGAATGAATGCTGCATAACTTGGAAGCCCAGATTCCTCACAATATGTAGAAAGATTAGCAATGCGTCGAAACTGCAGTCTCCTCTCGATGAAAATACCTTTTAGGAAGCAAGGCTATTTAAAATTCAATGGAAATGTGAGGCCTACTCATATGATTGTGAAAAAATGCAACTATTCGCCCTTCAACACCTTAAACGAAATAGGGTGATCTCTTAACTATTATCTACTCATTCCTCCGAAACCTACTGATAAACGAAAATTATGTGAAACCACTTTTAGAAAGAGTATGAAGCTCGTAATCCTTGGCCTTAATCTGATCAAAATCAACTTGGGCTTCATCAATCGCATTGATATTTACAAATTGAAAGAGATAGATTCACCAAAAAATTTTCAAACGCAGATTACAGTTTTAGTGAAATGAAGAATGCTCGTCATCTTTGTCAGAACTACATCTTTATACAATAATTTTCTGAATTCTTCATTTCAAAGTAAGCCTCCGAGTTCTAAGTACCTGGTTGTCATGTGCAATATTATTTAATCGTCAGCGCACATTAATAACCCTATAGATATAGCATACTCGAAGTTGAGAGCAATAATATAAATGCACATTTTGAAATTTTCGCTTATGCCTTTTACACAAACGCTTTGCCAAATTTAAGTGTTTTTACCCTCCCAATTTAATAAATTTCGTAATAATCTTGATACAAGTCGGTGGTGAAAATTCAAGCTATCTAATCACTTGAAGAATGCATCAGTGACTTTATGGCAACAAATGTTCAACTAAAGCAATTGGCATGCTTACCCTGGTTCGGATAGCTTGACCGGAATTTTAAGAAAGATTCCTATCAACTCATGTTATAATTCATCTTACCACCAATATCAAAGACATTTTCACCTATTGAACTAAAATGATTCTGAGCTCATGCAAATGCAACAAGTATAAATGGAAAATTCCACAACTCATCAAGACTGAGAAGAATATATTTTTGAATTTAAAAAAGGTAACCATTATATAGATATATAAAATTAATTAAATTTTAAGCTTCTTGGTATAAATGAGTCTAATAATTTCAATTGGCAGGAAAAAAAAACTGCTTAAGTAATCTAATGGTATACATAAGCTCATGGTTCAAGTGAAATTGCTGGGATCTGGAAATTTTCCTGATTTTTGTAACGGCTTTCCAGCTTACCTATTAGCGGATTTTCTTGTCCGGGACTTGTGAATAGGCCTCGGAGTGACGCACAGACCAGCTGCTTACGAAGACTGGTGGCCAACAGGAAATAAGGCAACAGTAGAAAAGAGGAGCAAAGCTGCATGATGACTGTCCCACTCGAGGGAGGGTCGTTGGAAGTCAGACGGCGGAGCGCCGACGTCCGACCATTTGAGAAGGCAGGTAGGGAAGACAACGGCAAAGATAGATTGACTGCATGAAGCCTATGTGTAAGATAGTCAAGAGCGAGCACTAGAAGTCGGTCAAAGTGAGGCGAAGAGGTATATATTGAACACTCTGATTGAGTAGATAGGTAAGCCAAGCTGATCTGATTACAAGTGACTGGAAGGCGAACATATGCCATAGGAAAATCGACTATTTGATCTTCGTCAGCAATGGACGCAACAGGAGTGAAAGAGCAAGCTATAAAAAAACGAATAAGCGAATCAAACACTATCTAATTCAAATGCCGGCACATAGTCGAGGAAAAGTATAGCACTGTACACTATATTATCTCGTTTAATTGCAGAATAAGCCAATTCCGGGCAAGATAAAGTTGATGTTGTAAGAAAATATAGAAGTAATTAATTAAACTTGACAATATACCTCGTATGATCTTACAATACTTGAGAAACTGAAAAAAGGTCTAACTAGGTAAGTGATTATTGTTTCATGCAACCCAAGGATATCATAATCTACTGGTTACTTAGAAATTATGCATGCTATATCGATACTACTACTATATGCTACTTTCGATATATCTATATATCGCAAGTAGGTTAAAGTAAAGAGCAGTCTGTTTCTTTTTGGAGGTTTTGGGTATTAGGATCTGGAAGTAATGTGAGTACGATTGTTGTGAAGATTTTCATTTATTATGGAAATACATGATGGAGAGATTCGTAAGTCAATCTCACCAAAAGACACCGGCTGATTGGCATTATACTGCAGCCATTTGGCTACAGTAGAAGGCTATCCGGCTTCTTCTTGACCTATTTCTAACTCGAGGCTTTTGCAAGAATGGGTCCCAGTTTTGAGGATGTGGTCACATGACGAACGGAAACTCAGCTCGTCTTCATCTGAAACGTTGG